TTTTCCCATTTTCTCGGTCTCACTTTCTCGCTGTATTATTTCGGAATTGCGGGAAGCTGAAGTGTAGGTTCATTGGGGGGTTAATTTTTTTCTGGCTGGACATAATTGATCCTCTACACTTTTAACTTAGTTGTTGCACATGGCAGTAGGCATAAAATATGTAAATATTTAAAGGAGCTTAGAAGATTACCAAAAACACCCAAATTCACTAAAATGTGCCATTCCAAACCGAGTTCCTTCCTGATGCCAGACTTGCTACTACAGATCTGTTTTTTAGCCCTTTCTCTTTCAGAAAATATTCCTCCGACGATAGCCCGGAATATTATCACTTCGACGCATCTTCCAGACTTTGAGCAAGATGATGACTGGCCACAAAATACGTTATTAGCTGTCAGTTGTTTTGACAGTCCTGAATCTCTGCGAAATGCAGTAGATTTTGCCGTACCAGATAGAGTGATTGCTCCAATAAATCAGCAAAAAGTGGTGCATGATAATATTCGTATCGCTCAAAGTGCAGGTTTTCGGGCATCAGAAGGTTTTGATCCGAACCGTTTTAACCCAGTGCCTACCGTTAGTGATAAAGAATTTATGCTGTGGGAATCCATTCTGTTTGAAATGCAGCGCGGAAGCCAACCATCGGAGTATGAGCCGGACGAAACATATTCGGAACTGTTTTCAGAAGAAACTGCTGCTGAATTGGTGCCTGCAAAATCCGCTGAATTGTTTAATGTCCAGGCAGAAAAAAAATTAACCCCCGAATACTCCTGTCCTTCAACTTCCAGCAATGCGCGAAATATTTTTTTTCATGGTTTTAACCCATCCGAAATCCATTCCACATACCAAATGTTAGAAGCCGGAAGAAGCAAAATCGAATCGGAATTTATTAAAAAACGATATACCGCTGAACTGCTACATACGAGCTCAACAAAACCAGCTACTGTTTCGGGGCCGCACACTGAGCCAGCTTCTGGGCCAAGTGTTAGGGCAACTGAGTACAAGGAGACAAAATCGACGGAACAGTTTGATTTTGCCAAATGTCAGCGTGGTTTTACTGGGAAAATATTTTGCCATAATTCGTTTCTGAATTTCCGACTTCATCTTGAAAGTCACAATCAGAATAGTGAAAACTGCTGTCGCTGGCATGAATGCGGCAAAAATTTCAGAAATTACCGGATGCTTGATCAGCATTATTTCGAGCATCTGGCAACTAATTCCGAACTGGTCTTATTCCGCTGCTGAAATTGTAGTCAGCGTTTCTGGTCCCAGCAATCGCTTACACGACACTGCGTCATGGTCCACAACATAAAAGGTGAGAAGAGCTTAAAAAAGCTGCAATTGCAGGCATCAAGAGTGATGCATTTGTGTTTATTGTGATAATTTGGTACGAAGGTTAGCAATAAACGAATGCAAAAACGCATATGCAAGTTGGTTTTACCTCATCACGGAAGGGTTTTCGTATCCAATTCATTTCATAAATTCTAAGAATTGCAGGACTCTCCTGGGCACTTGACATGCTGCACCCATGTTAGCTACATACACAGCTGGGGATCTTTCCATACACCAATCGCAGTTGTGTCACGCCTTTCATTCCTGAGCTACATACCTTCAGTTAGTGGCCCAGCCTTTTGGATCTACGTGAGCTTTCTTGTTGAAAGCTGCCCGAGCGGTCGTTTACTTTCGCGGGGCATCTCTCATCAACGTGCGAGATTTGTAGTTAACTTCTGAGCAAAGCAAAAGTTTACCAAGAATAAGGCTCAAAATACTGATCGAAAATATCGCCACGAACACGTTCGATTCAGGAAGTTGCGCTTGAAGCATACTCTTTGGGATGCCGACGCCCAGGCTCTGGTCCAAAAAATACGCCTGGATAGCTACCCGGGAAATCACACGTCCCACAACACTCCACGGCCGGTCACAGTCGCGTTCCTCATGACGCAGTCGCACTATTGGCCATCGATCACATGAGGATGTAATTCTTCATTAATTACAGTTGCCAAGTTAAATCGCAATATCGCCTGAAATAACAAAACGGGGAGGAGAGAAGAAGTCACGAAAGAGAAGAGCAAAATAATTAGAGGAGCTTTTTTTCTTCAAGATTACAACTGTAGATAGAATTTTCAAAATTTTAAACTTATGTCTTTTTTTTTTTTGCATGTTTGGGCAAATGCAAGAAAAAAAAACGCATATTATTGTGAGGTTGTGAGTTTGCTTTATCATCCCTTTTCAACTCCAGAACTAGTGAAGCTAAAAATAACCATATTCAAACAGCTTGTGCGATCATCCTACCATAAAATCTACGTTTATGTACGGCCAGTATTTATGCGCCTGAAGGGGAAATTGAAAAAGTTTGGCAGAAAAGCGATTTAATGGAGAATTAACACAAACGCACAATGCACATACTTAGACAAACATGCAAACAAGCAAGTGCACACACATCCCCAAACACACAGACATACAAGGAAACAAACGATCAAAAAAATGATTTTACCTTAGTGATTCCGCACAAATCCTGAAAAAACGCACAGATTTTTCATAAATTACAACACTTTTGGGAGATTTTTCTCGTTATTCAAAGCAAAACAAGGAATTCCGTTCATGTTTAGATCAGCATCGATGTCCGTATTTCGGCTGTTATCAGTCATTTGACTGCTGCTCATCTTCGCCAGCACAAGAAAACTCATAACATCTCTTATTCTGTGGAGTACAAATGGCCAGGATGCACGAAAATGTTTGAAACCGAACGTGGGATAGAAATCCATTTGTGGAAACATAGCACGAGCGCTCCCGTTCATTCCTGTTCTATTGACTGTGTCTTTGGACATGGGTGCTCTAGAAATACTTCGTCAATTGTTTTTTCCTAAAAAAATTATTAGCCATGGATTTTCAATTCTTTTACGCGAGCAGAAATTAGTGAGGCGTCCGGAAGGACAGGCGGGGCCTCCATTTTTCTTCCGAAGCCGGCGCTAAAATGGCACGCACGCAACAGTTAAGCCAAACGTCGGAAGTCTTAAGCAAAAATGGAAAAAATTTTATTGAAGAGCACCAAAATTTCACTGATCGAGGCGTTTGAAAATAAAGCGTTTAACAATGGTTTCAGTGTCGCGCTTCTTAGCAGATGCAGCTAACATCTTTATTCTTCTCCATTTTAGCTTTTTCATGATTCCATATGTCCATTCATGTGTTCTAATTTTTTGTTTGTTAACTTCGGTAAAGCCAGAGCCCAAGCTTTTTGAGCATGAAATAATGAATTTAAAAAAAATTGAAAATTGAATCTCAAGGTGCTGGAGCCTACCTAATAACGACATTTGTTAATTCAAGTAAATCACTGCAAGGCTAGAACAGAGCTCCTTTCTTTTCTTGGTGAATCCTTTTCTAAAAATGAAAAGGACCAAGATTAGAGACCAAAACTTTGACAGTGCACTACTGTTTAGCTCAGTGATAAAAATACAGTAAAGTGTGCAGAAATAAGATGTGATGCATAATTTGTTAAAAAACTATCGATGCAATGCAACTCGCCAAATGCAGCTAGTACGAAATGAATGCATTCACTTTCTTAATTTTTTACACGAAGCAGTACTGTGGAAGGGAATCATCTGAAAAAACGAAGAGAGCGATAACGAGAAGAATTATTTATTTGCTTTCAAATGACTCCGTAAAAAAACCAAGGGTGGAACGCACCAGGCGAGCGGGTGTGATCATGCGTTTTTGCATCAAACTTTGAGGTACTCCATCATATTCCCCTGCCCTTGCCCCACCCCTTCCACTCGCTGTTTCCGCCCCTCCCCTTCTCCCCCCTCCCTCCAGACGTCCATCTTCTCGAAGCAGTGATATTGTGCTGCATTATACAACACGATTACAAAGCCGTATTCTGTGAGTACGGTACGATGAGATATATGTGGCCCACAGCCCCCCACTGAGCGGTCTAACGCTGCTCACTGTAGGATGGTTTGTGCTATCGCGACCCTAATTGTTATCTTATTTAGACCAGTGAGTACCGGTGAGTGTATATGTGTATGTAACACGCCGCGTCCTATATACACGTTTATTATACATAGTAAAGTGAAAGGGCAAGATACAAAAAGTAGGTGAGGCTCTGGGGAGCCGAAGTTCTCCAGAATAGGAATATTAGTATGTAGCAGTAAGTCGCAGTGGAGGTCAGTAATGGAGATCGGTAAAGGTGGTCCCGGCAATGGGGACAAAGATCGAAAGTTTGGCGGAACCCTTTGGCGGATCCGGGGGAAGAGGGGGGGAGGGGGGAGAGGGGACAGTAGGTCTTTCGCTCTTAGGGGGCTCAGGCAGCAACTGTTTTACTATAGAAAATTGATTTTACCGGTTTTAGCAGCTGTTTTACCGGTTTTTTGCC